GGAAAGATCATTGGTCACACTTGCAGATTCTCCTTTCGCTCTATCTACCAGGAAGATTTCGATCTTTCTTGGTTTCGCCAGGGTCCCCTATGGTATAAAAACACATTAATAAATGGCTGAGTCTATTGTTTGTAAATACGACTGATCATTGACATTTTCCCTGGTGATAACAAACCTTCCCTCCATGGGAGGCTTGTAATGCTTAATAACTCTGGAAGGACTGATTCTGGAAACACATTCATGTGGTCTTTCTGGAGTTTGGCAGTATCAGTTCAACCAGAAGAGTCCAAAGTTAGACCCAGAGGTATTGCAGATGATCGTCTGGGAGTCTCCAGTGTTTCTCATGATTCCTCCAAAGGCCAACACCTGATTTTGACTGGGCCTCTGAAGAAGATAAAGCACTGATAAACTTATAAGACACAGCCATCATAGTACCTTAAGAACAATGTCTCCAGGTGTGATGGTTAAGGTGCTGGACTCCCACATGGCTGACCATGGTTTGAATCCTGGACCTGGAGGCTTGCTTTCTCACTTTCTTTTTTTCTCTCTCTGGTCAAATCGATTTCCCTACCTTTCTCTGTCTTTCTCTGGTCAAATTAAAAACTAAAACAAAAAAACAATGACTCCTGGATTACTATAAGGAAATGGCATAAAGAGCACCAGCCAAGGCAGATATAGATATCACATACTGGAAATAAGGTGGAAATTGTTCACAGACGAACCATGTAAGCTACCAGTTTTTTTAGATGCAACTACAGGGAAGTATCACAGGGACCCAACAGGAAGTAATTCTGTCTTCTGTGGTTAGCTCTCTTTTGAAGAAGAGTCTATTGCAATCAGAGAGGATTCTGGGAAGGTATTGGACTCATTCTTTTTTCTTTTTCTTCATTTTTTAGTCTTAATTTGTCAGCAGGTGCATGTGCTTGCTGGAGAGAGACAGAGAGACAGAAAGAGGGAGAGGGAGAAAGCATTCCCCAGTAAGGTGTGGTCAGAGCATGATGGCCTCTCTATTTCTCTACCCTGTCAGGATTGGGGCATGTACTCGCACCTGACTTGTTTATCAAGCTACAGGGGCTGGTATTTAAATGTAAAGGTTATCCATGTGAGATCTGACTCCCTTAATCACTGGGCTAAGGGCTGACCAAGATGTATTCTTGTGCCCACAGACATGATTTAAAAACCAACTTTTAACACACTCCAAGAAAGGAAACTCCTGAGTTGTGCACAGAGCTTTGGTGCAGGCTGCCTGGGCTAGCATCCAGGCTCAGTCACTCATCAACCATATGACCTTAGCTCTTTGCTTTAGTTTCTTCATCCGTAAAATAGGAATAATGATAGCAATGGGGTAATGGTGAGGATTAAACAGATTAAAACATGTTAAATACTTCAAATGACAACTCTCATGTAGAGAAGTGTTCTATGATGGTAGGTTATCAATCATTATTATTTCTAAGAATGTTTTGCAGTTGCAAATGATTTCCATTTCAAGAGAATTTTTATTTTCAAATTCTACTTTTTTTAAAAAAAAATTGCTGTAGGTGACATGTTCTTACCAGAAAGAGAGAGCTAGAGAGAGAGAGTGCACGAGCACCCCCCAGGGGTGATGGCCACACTCCAATGTCTTCTCCTCCATTCTTCTCTTGGCATTTTGGGCATGCACACACACACACACACACATACCCAGTATGTTTTCAAGCTGTCAAGTCCAGGACTCAAACCATGCAGTTGGCCACATAATATCCATCTGCCTTAACGTCTCCACCTGGCTGGACCTCAAATTTTTTTCAGTGAAATTTCAGAAATTTTTCTTTTGTCAGTCACAAGGAATGGGGATGACTAGTCATAGGAGTTATAGAGGGTGAGAACAGCAAGAGACCTCAGGCTGTATCAGTTCTGGCTTCTTCACCCTATTTTATTTTATTTTTTATTTGCCAGAGGGCATCTAGTGCCCTCATGGGGCGACCTAGTTTGGTGAACAGCTGTGGTCTAGTGACTTTCTTTTTCATTCTGTAGTAACTCTTCTTGTGTGGCAGTTAAACATAGTCCAATTTCTCCGTAAGCCATTAAGGTAACTTGGACACAGACCAGGCCTATGATCCCGTGGAAGTGGCTCATCATTGTTGAGTAGAATAAAATTGTCATTCTTATTATCTTATAGCACCTCATTGGCTTTCTTTTTATGAACTGCATTGTCATATTATTAACTTGTCCTTATTTTGCAAATGAGAGGGGTAGGGGTGGTCTCTGAATGGAGGTGAGGGAGACACAGCCTGGCAGTCTCTTGTCATTGATCCATTCTTTCCTCAGTAGCGTGAGTCAAAGGCCCTGCAGTCGGGGACAAACTGCAGGGCATGAGGAGCAGGGTCCCTAACAAGTGGCGTTACAGACAACCAACATACTTGTGCTAATTGACAGCATTCTATGATTTGGTTTTGTAAAATGAAAGTTCGGATTACTGGTGAAAGAGCTCTCAATACAAAAAGAAGATGGGAACCCCCCCTCCCCAACCTATAGAAAAACTAGTACTATTATGTGTCTGAAAACTGAAAAAAATTGAAAAACGTTTCTTTTTCTCTTTTTAACAAAATATTGCCAGAGGGCGAGCCACTTACCAGAGAGAGACAGAGAGAGAGAGGGAGAGGAAGAAAGCATTTCCTAATGGAGTGTGTGTGGACACATCCTTATCCCTTCTCCATTTCTCCATCCTATCAGGATCTTGGATGTGTGTGCACATAACGCCTGACATGTTCCTTAAGCCCCAGGGTAACCACTAGGCAATGGGACCAGTTCAAAAATGTTATTTCTAACAGATGACTCTGGCAAACACACCCCAAATACTGGGCTTCCTGCCCACGTGTAGGCCTTTGCTGAAACATCACCTTTTCATTGCAGCCTGTCTTGACAACTGCATTAAAATTGTAACCTCTCCCAGCCAGCTGACAACATACTCTCTCTTCTTTCCTGCTTTATTCTTCTCTGTAGTAATTACCATAATTAAACAAATAATTTACTTGTTTATTTTATTTGTATTTATTGACACCATAGTATAAGCTCCATGAGCTTTGAGGGTAGTATTTCCAGTGTGGATAGACAAGTACCTGGCATATAGTAGGTACTTAATAAATTGTTACTGAATGAATAAGGAAATGTTGTTATCTTCATGAAAGCAACCTTAATCTCTGAAAGTCTATATTTTGCATTGGGTTTCTTTCCTATTAATTTGTTGCCCTAGTAATATATTTATACTGGTATTTCCTTTTCTGAAAATTATAAAAATACTCATGAGATTGTTGTCCTTAAGACCCAAAAATAATAATTTAAGCTGGCTAGTCTCTCACATGTATGTAGGTAGAAAGAAGAGTACGGCCATTAGACTTCCTATGTAAACACAGAGTTGGAGAGCCTGGCCATATTTAAATTAGTACAAGCCATTTCATTTTGGTGTGGTTCCCTTTGTCCTCTCACCGGGTCTTTCTCCCACTGATTATGGACGCTGGGTAGCATGCTGCTCTACTGACCACCTGCTGCCTCCGGAGCACTTGAACATCTCAGGCACGCTTCAGAAAATCTCTGCAGGGTTTGATGCACTCTGCTTTATTTATGTAGCTACCATTCACAAATGTATGAGTTTGTGTATGAATATATGTAAATTTCTCACCTCCCCAAAAAAAGACCACAGTGGATTCTATATTCTTGAAAAATACCAAAATCATTTGGTAGAGGCAAGCTAGAGTACAAGGGGGTTAGGAATTACTCTCCTATTAGGAAAATGGGTTCTCGTGGCTTTTGCTTATGAAGTAGCATGACTCAGTAGCTCTGCTTGTAGAGTAAGTTTGCAAAATTCCTTTGCAAATAAAAAGTATTTAGTTTTTTTTTTTTTTTTTTTGTTCAACACTCAGGTCCTGGG